ACACACACACACACACACACACACACACACACACACACACACACACACAGGGTGACAAATAGTGAGGCAGACACTTGGTACGGATGTACAAAGTGGTGGGAGCCTCCCCTTTTGACAGCCAAACATGCATCCCACCCCCCCTCCTTTAGTCTCCCCCCTCACCCTGTTTATCCACCCCCTCTCATAAACCTGGAGACAGGCTTCTGCACCGCCTGGTTTCATAAAACACACATGCACACACACACGCACACACACGCGCTAACTAGTTCTAATTTAATTTGTGTGCAAGTTTTGACATCCGAACTAACAACTACTGTATTTGAAACATGTCTGAGGTTCTGAGTCAAAAGTTCATTATACTCTATTGGTTAACACTAAACACAGACTCAAATCTAATCATCCCTTGTTGTACCATTCAAAGCCCTTGCTGACTTATTATTAATAATCAGTATTCGATAAAATCAATTTACACATCACGACTCATGTCACTATCCTGTGTTGCATATATTGATGAGATACTTGTGTATGTGTGTTGTAGGGCTGTGCCAAAGTTTATGAAGCGGATCAAGGTGCGCGACTACAAAGACAGGAATGTGTTTGGTGTGCCACTGCAAGTCATCGTCCAGCGGACAGGCCAGCCCCTCCCTCAGGGAATCCAGCAGGCCATGCGCTATTTGCGCAGCCAGTGCCTGGATCAGGTAAGACTCAAATCCGATGCACGCATTTGGACACATGTACACACAAACCTCTGCTTATACTTTAATTGCATGTGTACATAATGTCAAAAAGCCCGCCAGCCTGTAATTTAGCTGAAAGCACTGTTTTCGATTTCCACAGTTAAATAGAAAGAAGTTTTTCTTCAAGGTGCCCCGTTACATAACATCTATATTGTAGGATATCTGCAATCAGTCAAATATTCATCCACGATTGAATTTTTCTGGTTACATAAGATGGAGCAGCGAGTCGGAAAAAGCCTGATAACCTTAGTCAGTGTGTGTATACGGTTTCTGTCTTTTCCCCTTTTTCTCTTCTCGCTGTCACACACGCTGAAGTATGGAGGCCTGCGCAGAGTCAGTGTGCAGCTGTTAGGTCACCTGTGTCTGTCTGTTTAATCCACAGACTGTGCGAAAGATTTATCTCACCGCGTGTGTATATACGCAAGGGAGAGAAAGGGGGAACGAGCAGAAAATATCTATTAATGGAGGGCAAAACAGTAGAGAGAGTGATGGTGTTCATTTCGAAGCAGGACAAGGCGCCTCTGTTTGGAAGTGGTGAAAGCTCATGGAAAATATTCAGGCGGAACAAGCCTGCGACCTTTTCCTCTTTTCCTCCCCAACAGTGCCCTTTCATAGAGCCTTAAAAGGCCACTGATGAGGTCCCACACAACGTTCAGCGCAAAAATGCTCACTGGGTGTCATGGGAGCTTCTTGTAAATACAGTCAACACGATCTGTTGTGATGTAACCATATTGACTGTAAGCACAGGATTTGGGGATAAGACCAGACTGTTATTTTTCCACGATAACGGTCTGCAGCTTTAGAAGACGGGCACATGCATCCAATTTTTTATCCCTCAGTGACAAGATCAAACAGTCGTGGTACAACAGAGATTGATAAGGAAATTAAAATTCAGAGCCAACTTATCATATCATTATCTTTTAATGTATTTGTGATGTAACTCTTTGTCCTTGTCTCTCTGTCCAGGTGGGTCTTTTCAGGAAATCAGGGGTCAAATCTCGAATCCAAGCTCTGCGCCAAATGAACGAGGCGAGTGGAGCTGACGGAGGAGGAGTCAGCTACGAGGGCCAGTCGGCTTACGATGTTGCAGACATGCTGAAACAGTATTTCAGAGATTTGCCAGAACCCCTGCTCACGAGCAAACTATCGGAGACCTTCCTCCAGATCTATCAGTGTAAGAATACACACACTGAAAATTACATACAGCCACATCTGTAAGAGGACTGTGCTCAGGAATAAATGTGGGTGTATTGTTTTTCGAGCTGCAGATGCTTGTCTGTCATGGAACAAGAATTTGTGAAACAGTAAAAAGAAAACAAACAAGATGAGTGCAGGAAATACCTGTGGTATGATGAGATCTATAAACCCTAGCATTGGCTCATCACTCTGTGACTGCCTACATGGGCACACACAGGCTCATGTATATGATGATTGTAATAGCACAACCCGTAACTGTTTATATAAGGTAAAACAAAAACCAGGCCTGTGCATGAAGTATGAAGCATCTATTTTACACACACAAACACACACACACACACACACACACACACACACACACACACACACAC